TTAACCATAGAAATGACTTGGGAACACTCACTCCTCTGGAAAGGCTGCGGAAAACTGCAGTCAATTATTATTGGAGAACATCACACCCCTCACTCTTTTCAGGAAAAGCCTCTGACAACTGCTCTAACCTCCCATTTCCATTCAAAACACACTGATGGGCAAGAAGCCAACCTGGAAATTCTCCAAGAAAAGGCAAGAGTTCAACCTTAACATGCTGGGGCTTTTACTACTTGGTCTGAAGGATATCCACACCAGACACACACAGGCACATTCTGACATTTCCCGCTGTGCTCCCACAACTGGGCCACACCTGCACCCCAGAAAGCAGCTGGAAATGTCATTTGCACATTCTCTGTATCTCTGTGGAAGAAAAACAGTTACAGAAACAAAACATAGCCAAGCTTTCCTCGTGTGTTTCCTCATATGCAAAACTAACTCTGGAGAATTTCACACTCCAACAGTGAGACTGGATATCACACAGGGAGCTCAGGAGATGCTCAGGAAGGTTTTAACAATCTTTTTTCTTCCCATACTTCAGACTACTAGAGCTGAAGATGCACTGCTGGAGCAGCTTCCTGAATGAGGAGTGTAAAATTTCATTGTGTGGGAAACAATATGCTGGTGCTATGAACAGCCACATGGAAAAGCAGCCTCTATTCAGCAAGTTCTTGCACTGCCTTCCTTTGTGCTCTGTGTTTAACCTCAGTGCCATCCTTTAACAAAGAGCCAGCCTCCTCTCTCGAGGATTCCTTGCATCTTTTTATCCTGAGAGTTGATTCTTTCCCAGAGTCTGGGGCCGTCTATCTTCCACTGTATTTATTATGTGCCCTCTTTTCTATGAATTTTTGCTCAACTCCCTACTTTCATTTTGCAAATTCATCTTCAAATCCACCTTTTTGTATTTTACAAACATTTAAACAATTCTTCATTGAACTATATGCAATTCCCAGATATTTAAGCAGCTTCTTTTCCATTCATGAAATAGTCTTTACTTCCAAGTTTGATTTCCAAGCACCTTCAAATCTCTGACGTTCCCCGACCACTGGATGCTCCAGCTGTATCTTACATACAATTAAATCATTGGCAAGACAAATTAAAAAAAAAAAAAAAGAAGTATCCTTCTGCAGTACACAGTTACTAAGCAGGCTGAAACGAAGCCTGAGTGTTTTCCAAAAGGAAAATAACGTTATCCCACTTGTGGCTGTGACAGCATTCTCTGTCCAGCAGCACACCTGGCCCTGCAGGAACAGGAGTGCAACCTGCTCATCCCAAAGCAGCAGGGCCAACCTGCTCTGCTCCTGACACCAGGGCTACACAAACACTGCCAGCTCTCAGCAGGGATCACTCCACAGCTACTCCTTGCTTTACACCTCTCTACTCCAACCAACACCTCCGGGGAAAATGCTTTATATCCATAGAAATGCACATTCATTTTCCTGTGACCTCTAAAAAATTCAGACAACACTTCTGGATATTCTGCCAAGAACTGAATTCCTGACTTGTGCTTGGCTTCTAATCTTACACTGTGGATCACTTTCTAGCCTAGTTCAAGGCAAGTTTAGTGTCAGTACATAAACTCATTTAGTCCATTATTCTAACAAAATTCTTTCAATAAAATCATCCCACTAAACAATCTGGAAGAAGCAACAATGAATTCCAACTTTTCGAGGTTGCACACAATACACAAAAATTTCAACATATTTTTAACACCTTGGATCAGACTATGCCATACCAGTCACAGACCTGAGAATTTGACAATATTCTTTTATATACTGAAAGTTAATTTTAAAAGATTATCACTTTGGAACAAGCAAAGAAAACAAACAAAATCAGAAAAGCTCAATCATAATTTTAAAGGATGTTTACTGTAAAAGGAACAATAAAAATGAGCCAATAGTTTTAAGCTCTCCCTACTTTTGAACAATTTGTAGAATTAAAAATATCTGGTTTTAGATAACTGCATGTTTAAACTGAATTTTAGAGCATGATATAGAGCTGCATGGCAAGAGTGAATTATCGAGAAGGAAAGTGTGTGGGGGAAGCAAGCCCTCAGAGGTCAGCTCTGTACCTTTTTATAATACCTTTATAAATGCCACAGTCTGACAAGTCTACTGGCTTGGATGTTCTGTGCAGGAAGTTATTCCTGCCCCTCTGCCACACCGTGCCATCTTCCCATAGGGAAAACATGACAGAGAAACCTCCACTGCATCTAGACTGCACCAACTCATCCATTCCTTCTACAGCTGGATAAGGAAGTTACATACTGTCATTACTAAAACTGCATGAAAATTAAGGATAATGGGGCTTTTTTTGAGCTGGGTAATGAAGTGATTAAAAAGTTCAAATAATTATGTTTAGAGTCCTGTAACTGGCTGCATTTTACAATACAAGATTTATGAACCAACAAATCCTGGGCTACATACTACCCTTCTCTTTAAACTGATAGTCCTCTATTTTTCCTGGATATTTTTTAGATCTATTATTATCTATAATACAACTATTATTTTAGAGCTAGTATTAAGAAGAAACATTCATTGATGTCCTGAAATTAACAGGAGGAAAGCCTTTGTTGAAGAAAGTGCAAGCCCATGCAAAACAACAAAACTAACCAAGACTCCCCCCAAATCAAACCAATAGGCCAAAATAAACACCCAAAAACTCATTACACAAAAACCCCCCCCCCCAAAAAAAAATCACACCTGACATGATCCCAACTGTGCAAGGAAGGATCCATTCTCTTATCCTAAATTACTTCCTTCATGGATGCTGAGCTGAACGTGACTATTAAATAAACATCTGAACATTCAGCTTTCCAGATGGATATTAAATTATTTTTAGCAATACTATTTTATACTAAAACAATATTTTGCAATTTTAAAGAAAGTCTTTAACAGCATGAAAACATGACATTTAGGCATTTGATGATTAAATAGATTTAAATTTGAGGCATTAACCTAAACATCCTAGAGCATTTCTAATAACTTCACTGAGCTGCCATAATTTCTGTCAGCATATGTAGTACTGAATGACTAATAAAATACCTGAATTGAAACTATTCCAGTCTAGCAGTTTGTATGATCTTGTGTTACCCATAATTCCGACAAAGGCTGAGTTCAAAACAGCAAATTAGTAGATCAGTTATAGCAGCAGAATAGTGAAAAAACTACCAACAAGAACACAATTGACAACACCACTCCACAGGAACTGGAAAGACACAGACAGCAGAGTTAATCAGAGGCTGAAATAGAAAGGGAAAAAGGAGCATGCTAGAGCAGTCTGGCACTAGTGACCAACGTGGATAGTATCTGCAGTTTGGTCCTACTGGCAAGCTCTTAATCCACCTCCAAACGTTCTCTCCTCTCCCACCTTCTCCTGATTCATTATTTTGCCAGTTTGTTTGCTTCCTTTAATATTTTACAGACTTATTTGACTCAAATGCTTCACAATCATAACTATATCAGAATTTTTTCCTACTCCTCCACCTTCCCTCCCACAGCCACGTGCCTTCATTCCCCTTTTGTTCCTGCTGTTTTGCAATGTGAGTTCCAAGGATCATGCATTTTACATTCACTTGTCAGGAGCAATGTGCAAGTCTCACAGAAACACTGCAGCTCTGCAAACACACATCTCTTCTTGCCTTATGGCTTATACTGCTTCCAGTCAGCTGGTAAAAAGGAAGGAGTGCATAATACAAGAAATCAGTTTTTAAAACTTCTGAGCAAAATTGATTTTTTTTTAATATTCTGTCTGTATCTATCGCACAGTAAATTTTACACATAAGAGACCGGTATCAGAAATCTGTTGAAAGCACAAAATCATAAAATAACTTTGTGGCAAAGAAAGACTCACGTATTAATTATATTCTGACATTTCTTTTAATCTCCACTGCGTAAATAGATCTTAGAATAGGAAAACAAAAGAGCAACATTGTGTACTAATACACTTGAAAAACATCCCTTAAACAAGGAGGATCTAATTCAAATTAAGTCTTGGATTTAATTACATGTTGCCAGTTTACTGAATCTTTAGATCAGCAACAATCTGATCTACCTGCCTGGAGAATTGCTTGCCTTGGGCCATAGGAAGAAAAGGAAAAGATTAGGTTTTTTGTACTTGTTTTTAAGGATGTATTTGCATAAACCTCTTTTTATTACTCCTGACTAGTGCATGCAAAACCACTGCAGGTGCTATTTTTCCTCTCCTCTGCATTTTTAAGTGCACTGTCGACTCCAGCTTTTTGCAAAGCATTCCTCATCTGGACTCAGTAACTAAACCAACCAAGTCTTGAGAGCCAAAAGTCACTCAGTTCTAACATTAGAACTAGGACATGCAAACCCCATGAGTTCCTGTGCTGGGGATCCCAGGAAAAGAATACATAAAAATCTTGAAGTACTGTTCAGTAAAGGCTTTTAAGAACAGAAACAAAACTGTAAAGGTGAAAAACCACGTTGTGAGTTGTAGCCATTAGTCCTTAAAGATTTCAAGGAGCTGAAAATGGGAAAAGATTCATAGTTAAGATCAAGCATTTAATCGCATTTTTGTTTGAATGGAAAAACTTGCATAGAGTTTTAATCACAAAAAGCAGCAAAAAATTAATTAATCCCTCAATAATTCAAAGCTAGCTTTCAGTGCAGAGTTACTGATTCCAAGCATTGTTGTTATTACTAGCTTAATTTGCTGAAAGGTTTCTCACCAAAACCACAACCTTTGAGTAACTCATTTTCCGAGCCTCAATGGCTCTCTGCAATGCCCAGCTGGAACAGATCTGTCCCTCCCCAAGGTGCCACCGGGCAGGCTGTGCCAGTTTGGCTGTGCCCTGCTGGAACAGATCTGTCCCTCCCCAAGGTGCCACCGGGCAGGCTGTGCCAGTTTGGCTGTGCCCTGCTGGAACAGAACAGATCTGTCCCTCCCCAAGGTACCACCGGGCGGGGAGGCAGGCTGTGCCAGGCAGGTGTTCCTGCGCTCCCGTGCTGTATTCCCGCATTCCCGTGCGGACGTACCGGGGTTGTGGATGCGATCCAGGAGCTTCACGGAGCGCGCGCTGACGACGCCCCCGACGTGGAGCAGGAAGCCGGGTGGGAAGGTGGTCAGGGTGAAGAAGGGGAATTCCTGTGGGCACAAGAACCAGCATTAGTGCAGAGCTGAGCAGGGCCTCGGCGGGGCAGCGACATGCACCGAGCTCTCGCTGCCCTGGATGCCAGCACTGCGGCGCCCTGGGCAGAGGCACCCCCAGAGCTGCGCGTGCCCACAGCCCCAGGGCCAGGAAAGCACAGGTTCCACACACTCAGTACTTTTCCCCCACAGAGTTGTTTCTCAGCACAACAGTGATAAACAACCAAAACTTTACATATTTTTAGATTAATAAAATCTCTATTGATCCACTTTTACCATGGCTGCTAAACACCAGAATTCTTTCATTAGCTGATAAAAAAATAAAATTTTTCTCCATTTTTAGGTGTTCTCATTACAACTGACTGCAATTTGATTCTGAAGCACAGGGTGGAACAAACTGTAATCCTGCAAGAATGAGGACGGTCTGATTACAGGAAAACATACCTAAAAATATCAAAGGACTGCTCTGCTAGTAAACTCTAAATATAACAAGTAAATATACATCTTTTAAAATAAAGCTCAGGTCTTGAAACACAACTGTAAATTCTTAAACTAAAACAATTCGCTTCCAGTTAATAAGTAAAATAAAGACTTAACTTTCAGTAACTATTCCAGCTTTTAATTCATAAAAAGGGCAAAGTAAGTAATAATGGCAATTTTTCAAGACTCATTTGATGAATAAAAGTCATATTCAAAAAACTGAGCCCAAACCCAGATTTTAATTGCTCCAGAGACGTTCTGTGATATGTCTGATATATCCATAATAGCACACTTATGGGGGAAAGGCAATAATTCGTGTTCAGCAATTCTAAATGCAGAAAGCAAAGAAAAAGAAAAATCATGCAATCATGTTTTGTATAATAGTAACTGATTAAATGGAACAAATAAACACCGTATTTTTATATGAGAGAAAGTAGAGGATAGATTCCTTTCTCACATACTTGGAAAGAGTACAGTTCAACCAAGCTTCTACCTGAACAGCACACATGCTGCAGATTCAGCGAGGATCAGGCTCTTCCAGCAATACATGGCATGAAAAATTAGCTTAAACAAGAGCCCAACATAGGTTTAAGAATTAATACTTCAGGATTCTTGCCACCCTTCTAATAGAAACTCTTAGAACTTTTAAAAGCTCCTACAAACTTCAAGTTTTCTGGATTTTCATTTGGCTTAAACTTTCAAAATTAGGAGGCAAACCTTTAAATCAGTGACCATAGTATCAATAACCAGAAGAAAAAGAAGAACAATCCCGAAAGCCAAACCCTGCAGTTCTGCCGTATGATGCAATGAAGAAGTAGGCAGATTTCACCCCAGGACTCTGCAAACCTGCTTGACCAATGGGTCTCCGGGAGCTGAGATGGATTCTAGAGAGGGATGCAGTCAAGATTTCCCCCAGAAGGTTCTAACAGATTGCAAAGTGCCTTGCAAGTTACCAGAATAGCCAAAATACTCAAATTACTTGCTTTCCCAGGACTGCAGAAATGAATAAAGGAGTTTTCTGAATGTGCCACCTTTATGAAATTCCATTAATCCTTTACTACACTTTCATTCTCTGTATACACACATTTACACCAGGCTGAAGCAGTATGGAGTGGGCAAAGGAAACAATACTCCATGCTCTAAAGCTTGAGCAAATCCATTGTTTTTTCATCTAAATGGAAATTCAGAAGTTTTTCCACTTTCTGTTCCTTTCCATAAGACTTTGTACTGCAAGTAATTTTAACATGCTCACACTTGCAGTTTGCCTGATTCCCTACACTAGAAACCAGGCCAAACTGCAAACAACAACTTGGTTCTATCTCAGTGCATGTATCAATACTCCCAAGCCTGTATTATGACACCTGATAAAAGAAGGTGTTTATCAGGTAACTGGAGCCACAGACAAATCTGGGTAGCAGACTCACTGAACCATTCTGACAGAACTCTGTTAACAATCTCTCACTCATTCTGACACAGATGGAACTCCGTCACTTCATAGGAAGACTTTTTTTTCCTTTTTTTATTTAATTTAGAGGTTTTTAAAATGCTATTATTATCTTACTTAAATACAAGTTCCAGCCTCAATTACATGTTGTAAACTGTAAGAGTTCAAAATTACTGTGCCACCCCCCAAGGTGGCCAAACAACCTCACAGCTTTTCTTCACCTAAACTGAGGGGATGGGTGGGTAAGAAGTCACTGGAAAGAAAAGATGAAAAGATGTTCAAGTCAGGATTTCAGCCAAGCAAATCTCCCAGAAAACAGATTTCCTGCAGTGCCCTTCAGATGAAGGCCACCAGATCCCCCTTTTGAAAAGGCAGCAGAAGAGATCACTCAAGCACTTGCAGAATGTAAAAACAGGAAGAAACCAGAATTTGTCCAGAATTTGTGGAAGTGAGACATGAAATACCACTGAGAGCAGCTTTTGGTCATTTCTACAAAAATATAGGCTAATGTTTGAGGAGTAAGATAACATCAAATTTTCCTACTGATGGAAATGCAGCATGTATTTTTTTTTTAGTTAAAAATATACAGAGAGACAGCAGTGCTACAGTTACTCTTGCTATCTACAGATGTCCAGGGAATTTTTAACAGTTATTAATGTACAAGGTAACATGTACCTGAGTTTTCCACTGCTGTATTTTCTACAGGTTCATTTTCAGGGAAGAAATTGAGGAATATGACCCTTCTAACTAACTCTGTTCAGTTTGTAGTTAGGGTTATTTAAGTAATATACCAAAACCACATTTGGTTAAAACAAAGCTGTTGAGACATGCAACTAAATGAGCTGATTTTCAGGTACCTCAGCATTACCATATACCCCAATAATCTAAGACTCAAAAGAACTATTTGAGCAACCTGGTCTCACGGAATGTGTCCCTGCCCAAGGCAGGGTGGCTGGAATAAGATCATCATTAAGGACCCTCAAACTCAAAGGATTCTGGGATTTTATGATATATCTAATACATGTGAAACTGCATTATATATACTGAATTTCTTCTTTGTTTTCCTAAATACTTGCTATCCTAAGTAACCCAGACAAGTAGAGTGCACTGTTTATGTGTGTAGTACTAAAACAGACAAGATAACTTACAGATGTTATTCATTCCAGTTAACTCAGCTTCAAGGTAGCCAAAAGAGGTAACACCACAGCAAAACCACATCCAATATGAAATTTTCAGAAGACAGAATGAACATATTTTTTATCAATTAACTGTCCACATGCTTTGCTGTTACACCATAGTTGCCATCAATAACAGATTCAACATGTCTCCATCCCATTTTACAGGATCTTTTTTCTACTAGCCAATACAAAGATCTTATCAAAATAATGTGCAAATAATTCAGGCTCTAAAAATACATTAAGGGCTCTTATCTTACTTTTTAAATTGTCTTTAAAAAGCTTCCTAAGGAAATAAAAAGATCAGCCATGGAAAGTCTAAATGCTAGCAAAATCAAAGGTAAACAGAAAAAAGGCTTGTTTTAATGCATTCCCTTCAGCCAAATAAAAAATTAAAAGCAAAAAGCCACGGATTTGTATTCATACCTAAACTAAAACATTAACTGAAATGTATCAACATGCAAAATACACCGATCTAAGAAATGCTCTTTAAACCAACAAATGTAAAAAACTCCGCATGAACAAAATCACAAAGAGCTCTGGGAAGGCTCCCGCCCCCATCTGTGAGATGATGGTGCTTTGGAAGCCCCAGCAGCAGGGAGGGGGCTGAGGGGTCCCGTTTGCTGCCACGTACCCGCCTGGCACAGAACCTGCGGGGCGATCCTCCCTTAGCCACGGGAACACAAGAGAGGAGAGCAGAGTCAGCACTCGCTGCAGGCAGGCTCCTGTGTGTGCAAGCCCCCGTCACACCCCGCACCTGCAGCGCCTCTGCTCCCAGCCAACGCGCACGGCCCGTGGCACCGGCTTCGGCGTCACTGACGTGTTTTATGGAAAACCCTTCCTTTAGGATCTTTCCTCCTGAGAGGCCTCAGGAACAAAATGTACCCAATGGTTATCTGCTGCTGTGGAATGCAACAGGTGCATCTGGGATTGGGCTCATGGGGTTGTTTCTAACTAATGGCCAATCACAGCCCAGCTGTCCAGACTGTCTCAGTCACAAGCCTTTATCATCATTCCTTTTTCTATTCTTAGCCAGCCTTCTGATGAAATCCTGTCTTCTGTTCTTTTAGTACAGTTTTAATATAATATATATCATAAAATAATAAATCAAGCCTTCTGAAACATGGAGTCAACATTCTCATCTCTTCCCTCATCCTGAGACCCCTGTGAACACAACCACACTTGGGTGCAATACATTTATTTCTAGTACGAATATACTCCCATTTCTTCCCTCAATACATCTCATTATCAACATTTTGATCAAAGCAGTGTATAGTTTATAAAAAAAAGTTGCAATTACTCATTCCAAATGTAAACAATTTATTAAAACCACTATTTTCATCATATAGTCTGTTCAGTTTAATGACAGATGGCATTTTTAGTGCAACAGAGGAAAAGTTTAAATGTATAAATGCCTTTTACTGCTTAGCAAGTAGATCAGTTTCAAGTTCCCAATTAAAGGCTACCTTCTACTCCATTGACTAGAGCACAAGGTAACAACTCCATTCCCAAAACCTGAAACTTTTCCCAAACGGGATTTTCAGCTTGTTTAAAGCCCTGCCAGCCAATGTTCCTGAATTTGGCTTCTGTGAAAACCTTATCATCATGTCTTTACTCAAGTGTTAAACTTAACATGCATCAGTACCTTTCAGAGACCACACAATGGTAATTTCTCCCATAACTTCTTAATACCACTGGAATTACTTGAGTGCTGTGCATACTTAATTGCTCCACTTCTCCCAGGGCTTTAGTAATATATTCATATTTAAATAATTTGTGTATAAAAGGGCTACTAAACAGTCAAGATTTGTACTAAGTTCATACCAAAACTAACATTTTTTCAAACAAAGTAAAAGCAAACATTAACTTAGAACAAGATAAATTTTCACTTCAATAAACCAGAAATGGAAGTATAAAATGCCTTACCCTTTGTTCCAGAGCTGACTGAGTCTGTTGTCTTAAAAGAGTTTTAAATGGCCCCCCTTCTTTTCCAGCACTCCCACTGCCCATTCCTGAAGAATATCAGTACAAATGACATTCAAAGAAACATATATTATAATTTGTAATCAAAGAGTGAGTTCAAAATAGATAAAAATGAGTCATTGAAAACAGTCAAAATTTCCCCATAATTTTAATTTCTAAGAAAAAAAAAAAGGCATCAAAAATTTAATTTTGGTTTGAGGGTTGTTCTAGGTTTTCCTTCTCACACAACTAGCAGTGATTTTATAAGTATTTGAACAAACCCCCCGAGCTAAGATTTTTTCCTGCTGTCAACCTGAATTAAAATCAATTATAAAATATAAAAACTTAAAGATGTGGGTTTAAAATTCTTTCCTACAATATAGAATTTTTTTTATTTAAATAGAGATCTAATTTTCACATTAAGTTTTTATAAAACCATATTATCTGCCCTTATCAAAAAGAGTCTCTCTGTCAGACTACTCTACAGTTGTGTATCTCTCACTAATATAATATTTTTATTTAATAGAAGTAATAAAAATCTGGTTTTCAGAGAGTTTCAGGTAACTAAAACCACCTTTCCTAACTACAAGCAGAAGACTGTACACATAATTATAGCAGCAGTTACATAATGCATGATTAGGAGCAAGAAGAAAGTACAAATGCAATGCATATCCTTTGATTTGAACATAAACTCTGGAAAAAATTATGAATTATTTTACACTATGAAATAATCATCTGATTCACTCAAATAAGCTAGGGGCTACTACTGCTCAGCATTTAAAACTACACTTATCTGATTACTATATTGGCACACACATAACCTGCAGATTATGAACATGAGATAAACTCCAATTTTGCATAACATGGCAATTCTCTTTTCTTCTTTCAGAGTTTCACCTCCAACCCTCTCCGTAGCACAGGGGGTTTGTGCACAGCAAGCTGGCAGCTGCACTGACACCTGATTGTGCACTAGCACCCTTGCTGGGGCATCACTTGCAGGGCCATGTCCCTTCACAGAGCGTGCTGAGCTGCAGGTTATGTGTCTGACAGTGACCTGGGGGCTCTGTGCTCACACAGCACTGCAAACACATGCCAAGGTGCACTTTTCCTAAAGCAAACACAGTGCCAGTGACTCAGACTTTCTTGGTAATAGGTCATGCCCAAACCGCATTCTCCTTGCTATTCCTTAAGTCTAAAGCCATCAGGGCTAACAGGACAAAGCAAAAAGAAGCCCCTAAGCAGCAGAGGAAAGCAGTGCATAAAGAACAGAAAGGTGTCAGGAGCAGGATGAAATACAAACAGCATAGTGCAAACAGTTAGAAATGAAGCCAAGATTTTCTTTTCCAGAATTTCTAACTGATTCAACATAATAATTCCTTGCTAGTTTCCTTTTCCTTCTGATCAAGAATCTGGTAAGGATGAAAAAGAGTGAAAATATATATCCAAGTGCAGTTATTTGTTTTACCTAAGACTGGGAGATCTAGAAGAAATACCAGACTTAATAATGTATATATAAATTCACTCCTAACTTCATTCATTCATTCATTTTCAAGAGTTACTAAGCTACCATTACCATGTAATTAGATATAAAACCACTATAATTTTCAATGAGTATTTTTAGCTGTTCTTGGATAAGGAAACAAAACTATTAGTATCTGTATAGTCCCATTAAACAAGATTAAATTGCTTGTACTATTTAGCATTGATTCTAAACATCACTGTCAGGGACTATACAAGACTAAATACAGACAAACATAGCATAAATTCTACACATGAAACAAACTCAAAAAATACAAACTAACCAAAAGAGTTTCTACAAAAAAAGCAAAGTCAATAATACCAACAATTATTTAATTGAAATCTCTAAAAATAATCCATGTCAGTGAAATGAAAAAGTGGGCAGTAAAAATAAAAAGCATGGGCTTTGTTTAAAAGGTTAAATTAAAAAGCAGAGCTGGTAGCATCTGACAACCATTATTTCAGCAAATTATGAATGAATTCATGAGCAAGTGCAATGAGCAGCTGCTCCATGCAAAATGCAGGAGCAACAAAGTGAGGACAATGTGTGGGATTAGAAATAAAGCAAATTATTTCAATCCAATCAGCAAAGGCTAATTTTCAAGGGTAAAGAAGTAATTCTGCAGCATAAATGACATTGTTTCAAATCCTCTAGGAAGTTCTGAAGGTGTTTCAAGCTTCTGGGGCAGAGGTGAGAGATGGAATACATAGTCATGTAGCCAGCAGCTTTCAGAGGCTAACTGAGCAAACCCAGGGTTACAGAAGCAGCTGTGTGTTAATCAAATAACAACATTTCCTTCAAAGTTTGTTTAAAAGGCCATAATAGACAGATCCTACCAGAAGCAGCCAGAAGCAGCTCTTCAGTGAAAGAAACACTTTTCCTCAGAACAACTGGGCTGACATGGCTAGAGTGTAGAGGTTTAATGCTAGACCCCGAGAGGAGGAGACAGGACTTTTTAAGATGTGGGGAATCACAAGAGAGTGAAGGGGAGCTGGGAAACAGGAAAATCCTAGGTCCCTGTGGGGAAGGTGCTGTGGAGGAAAGTAATAGAGACAAAGATGTAGATTCAGAAGATGACTAAAGAAACGGACAAAAGAAATCAAAATGAAGCATTTCTGTTTTCTCTAAATGAATCAACACTTACTGCAAATATTTCTTGACACACAAAGAAATGGAATGACAATACAGCTCCACAACGTACATGAGAAGCGTGTCCTTAAAAATCATTACTTGATCAACTTTATTTTGAAATGAATTTTTTAGAGACATGGTAATTAAACATTTTAAATGCCAATCAAAATTTGATAGCAAATAGTATGGAGTAAAACCCAAACAACAGAGTCTTTGCACACACTTAATCTGATTACTTGCATTATCTTGGTAGAAAAGGTTCTTTCCAAAGTGGCCATGGATTCATTTTATGATTTTCTAGAGTAATAAATCTTGTAGAATTCTAAGTTCCCATCAAGTAAAGGAGTTCCCACCTTACCCATTTCCTCCAAACATATGCTATGGCACATCAGAATGTATTATCTGATTAAAAAATATCATGCTTTTTGTCAGCCTGATTCTGTTCATTTTCAGTGGCATAAAATATATCCCTACTCCCAGAATTCTAATTTCTAACCCAAATTCAGCAAATGTATTTATAGACCAGAATGGCTAACACAAGCACAGTTGCATTTCACAGAAGACATCAAGGCAATATTCTCTGGATTTGGAGCTATTGAAAATTAGATGCTTAAGCAGATCCAGGTTCCAGCCTCCAGTGTTTTGTTACTCATCCTGGAAATTGTGGTACCTGCACCATTTCTCCAGGTTAATGTCCATCTCAGATATGTCAGCACACTAACTACCTGACTGAGAAATAAAGGAGAATATAATGTACTGCAGAAATAGCAGAAAATACTTATTTTTCACATCAGCCAACCCGAGTAATGGGTATCTCGAACCTGGTAACATCAGATGTGTCACATGAGAAATTTGCATTTCTTTAACTTTATTTAACTACTGACATCACCAACTTACACACTGAGATACCTGAACTTGGTAACAGCCTTGGGAAATGAAAACAGAGGTCTAAACATATACAGTAATTGTTAAAAGCAACATACTGAATTTAGTATGTTATGGAAGTGTCTTCTGCATATTATCAAATTTTGGGTAAAACAGATTGCTCATGAGGTGATGTCCTTTTAGTCTACTAAGATTCAAAATTGAGTTTGTCATAGGAAGATAGAGCATGTTTAAATGTAACTAGAAAATCCTCTCCAGACAAGTTTCAGCAGCAGAGTTAGAAGCTGCCAAAAAGAGAGTGCTAATAAGCAAAACTATGCCCACAGGTTGCTTTAATACTAGAAAGACAGCTAAAAACATCTTTACATACTTGAAAAATCCCTCCAAACACGAGGCACCAATGACAATCTGTTTCAGTTCTGAAGGAACTGACTAAAACCAACAGGATTTATCACCCACCTAACATTGCCAGGAAATACATAAGGCTGCTGCTTTAAAACCTTCACTCATTCACAGTGAGTTGTGCATGCCTAAACTCACAACTCTTACATCTAGAAAGATGACCACCTATGTTACATTTAAATCCTTTACATGACATCATCTCTACCATGGAAAATCTGATCAAAAGAAACAGGTTTTCAAATATTCAGTAAGCCAAACACCTGAATTTGGGGTGCTCCCAAGAAATGAGCATCCAGTTCTACCTGTAGGTCCTCTAAATGAGTGACCACCATAGGTTACCCAGAGGACAGACATCCTTTAAAAAGGACAAAAACTAAAGTGTGCTTGTTTTTGCTTGTTTGTTTTAGAAACAGGACAGAAGACAGCACTAAGAAAGACAGCTTGCTAATTAGGAAAATTTTTAACACATCTAGGGAATAAACTGCATGAAATATTTAATACAACTCCATTTGAACGTAATATTCAATTTACCTGCTAGGAAAAATTCTTGAAAGGAGTGCTATCAAGTAAAGCTGAATCAACTACCTTAAAATGCTTAAAATCTGTCTCATTATATAGAGCCAAGGATGTTCTGGGCTTCAAACACCACAATTTAAAACATCATTTAAAAATGACCACACTTCTATATACAATTCTACAAAATACTTTGCCCCATGGTAGCAAAATTCACAGCATTGGTCATATAATGAAAAATAAACATACAGTAATTCTTTGAGTTTTGCTGACATTATTACTGACATGATTCTAACCACAGACTAAAAAATAAGGAGGGAGGAAAAAAAAAACAAATTGAAAAAATTATGATAAAGCAATGGAAAAAGAAAAATGCTTTTTGAAGATGGCTGGACTACTTCTAATGTAATTTAAGCTACCTTGAAAGTGTATACTGTCTACGTAAAGCTATTTCCATATACCAAGAGAATAAAAAGACAATGGCTGCTACATTTCTAGTTTTGAATTTGCAAAAGGGAGTTCAAAATTAGATAAATGTATGCAGTAAACTTAGGGCCCAACACAATAGGCTTGAAGGCTACAAGGTTTTAGTAACACCATCCTTAACATATTGTGGTGAGAAATACACTCCTATGATCTGTGATATGAAATGGAGGAAATAAGGAAAAGGCAATTACTTAGGACTCCCTTAATGCTCTGAGATGTTTTGACTTCAACACAACACAGTTGTGTTACAAAAGCAATTTTCACGTTATCCAGGACAGTGGAAATGCAGGCAGGATTGAAATTTGGACCCTGCAGAAACCCTTTAGAGCTTGAGGTGTGCTGTGTGAGGTCTCCAATTTTCACATCATTTTGATAACTTAAATGCCAAAAAGCAAAAGGGGTTGAATGAAAATATAAAAAGAGAAACAACTTAAACAAAAAGTGGGTGGAAGTGCCTTACCAGTTTTGGGTGTCAAACTCAAATCTGTGTCAGAAGAAGAGGACTGTCGACTGTAGGACTTGGAAGGTGAAAAGGAATAGGTTTGGTTTTTCAGAGGGGTGGAGGGTCCTGATGAATATGTATTGGGATTGGGATCTTCATTGAAAGGAATCCTGCCAGAAGAAGGTGGAAACATATTCAGTAATCCTGTGCCAAAGGACCTGGCTGACAGCAGCATGATCCAAACACCAGGATGGGACTGGGGCAGGGCCAGCAGCTATTCCTTAGGAGCGAGGCTGGGAATGAGGCCAGAGGCAAAGAAATGCTGTTTTACCCTCTCAGCATCCTACACACAGATGCTCGTCATCTACAATGAAACAATTAAGCCAAATGAAAGGCATGAGATGTGACAAAAAATTATATATAGATATGCAAAATAAAAAAATTGAAAAGTTTATGGCTTAAAAATCTGGTCAAATACACAATGCTTTGAGTTAGTTTAATAAAGAAAAAATGATTTCAAATTATAGCTGTGTTTATACATATTTATACACTTATGTATATACACATATGCATTTTAAGGTAAAAAAAAAAAAGAGATGTTTCCTTATCCTATAGCATCAGCAGCATGCCACAGCTAAAAACAGAGCAAAGAGGAGAATCTTTATGGGAACAACTCTATTGACAAACAGTTTATTTATGCACAGCTTGACTTACCTGCTCTCTAAAACCATCTCTTCCACAAATGGCACAGACCCTTCCTAGAACCATTTCAAAACCTACTGTATGTGAATTATGTTTGAAAGCAATTAGGAGCTCAAATCACCGTTTCCCAGTTACATCACCTTATTGTTTTAGTTAATTTCACAGGAAGCAAGAGCGTGTGACAGTGAAGAGCGTGGCTTTGTGGAAGAGACTGCGAGGCATGTCCAAGACCTATCCTGCATTTGCTGGAGCTGCAGCACCCTGGGAACAGCAGGCGTGTCCCTGAGGAAACGGGGGAGGAGAGAGGGCGGTACCTGCCTACCCTGCCTGCCTGCCTGCCCTGCGGGGGCACTGTGCCTGCGGCTGCCTCTGCCCAGCTGCGAGGGTCAGCAGACTCGTACCAGTGTAGATGAGAGTGGGAACAGACACAGAGAAGTTCTGAGTGAGCCGTGAGCCAGTAGCAGTGTGAATTGGGCTGTTGTGGGTCGAGCGGCATCCATGGCTGGGCGCGTGAACCAGCGGAGACCTGAGAGAGTTTGCAGCCAGGGCGGGAGAAAAGAAAACAATACATACAAACAGGTTGCAGAGTTATGTTACCAATGACTTCAGGGAAGTTCAGATAGAGGAGATCTCTTACTCTAAGCAGACTCTAAGAATTGCAATTCCTAGCATGCAAGAGTCCAGATGAAATAAAAGGAGGGAAAGGAACAGCTTAAGCACTTGCTTGTGACTGCATCATTGATTTCTGGCAACAGGCCATCAAGTTAGTAAAGCCAAGAATAAGAAGAATCAAATCAGTTGATTTTGCTGCCTTAGAGAAACATTCCCATTTTTTGAACTGAGACAATATCCATCACCAAGTTGAACGTGGATAATTTGGAAGGTGGAATTTCCACATTTTGCTGCAGAGTGAATGCCACTGGTTTATTTATGGGTGCTTTTTAAGTTGGTAATTACTAGGTCTACCTTTTATGTTTTTAAACACCATGCTGTTGCTCTATGCTGCCCTGCATCCTGAAGTTCTTTTAAAGGCAATTTTTTAAAATCAAGACAAGTCAAACAAGCTATGCTGTGAAATAGAAACCAGTAATTTTTAGAAGTCAGCTCATATTTTGCAAAATTTTGCAGAGCAATTGATGTCTGCACAACCAAAACGCCTCATCTCTCTTGCAGTGACAGAACAGCTCAAGTTAATGAAAATGGCTACTTCAATTAATACATCTAGAAATACAGGATATGCAATACACTTCTTGGTGCAGTTTTTTCCTTCCTGTATTGCTCTACCAAACAGAAAATAACTAATTTATCCATGCAAAAAAGTAGCAACAGTTGAAAGAAGACTGCAAGAATATTTCTATTAATCCGTATGCATATCACAACATTCAAACTGTTTGGTGCTGCAGTACATATGACAAAAGCACAAAATTCTAATTCTCATCATAAAAAGATTTCTCTGCAAATTCACTGTCTACCTGTTTTGCCATAGTCCTTGTTTTACAACAGTAAAAAGCAAAGCACACAATAAAAGATGAGACCTCTTTGGGGTCATTGTCTAAATCACTGACAGAACAATCAGAATTCAAAATTTATCTTCTCTTATACACTTACAAACATTTAAGCTTGAACCAAAAGTATATTTGTGAGAGGTCCTCACAAAAATGTTCATTGCACAAACACAGCATCAGAGCAGAACTAATTAGAGTTAAACTGGTGGATCACAAGCCAAGCATATGTAGTACTATTGCTACATAAATACAAAGAAAGTCATCTTAAGTGAGAACTACCACTCCAGCTTCTACTGAAATAACTCATCCAACCTAAAACATTTCAGAATTGTGGAATAGAAAACTTATTGCAGACAAATAAAACTACAAAAGAAAAACAAATTCTGGGGGAAAAAGAAATCACACTGGTTATGAAAAACCGAATGAGTATGAAAGGAAGAGAGGTGAAACTTGTTTCCCTACAAGCTACTAATTCATACTTACTCCTTCATTTCTTTGGATGGGGAGTTACATGCAGGTAAAAATGCTGATGTGTTACTTAATTTATCCAACGTGCAGGCTGTTCCTATGGCTCTCACTACGAGTCCAGACTCTCCTTCCAAATCAAAACACTGCAAATAACCAACAACAGCATTTCCTCTCATTTCCAGCACCTTCAAGCCAATCTTCCTTTGTAATTCACCTACAAAACAAAAGGTAAAGAGCTCAGAGTTGCAGTGAGAGTTGCACTTCTATTCTCTTTCGTGGTCTTTGACTCAGCTTTTGGAGTGCCAACCAAGTCAGCAGAACAGGTGATAAACCCAATCCTACATAGCTGGGCCTAGGAGCCAGCCACAACTTCTGTCTCCTACAACACCGTGTGATACCAATCTCACAGCTTTTTGCTTTTCTCTCCAAATCCATTCTGACTGCCAAAACAGCATATCATTTCAGAGGTTTTTCCCACTAGTCTTTCTTTCCAGTAGGTTTTTTTTCCTTTTTTCTACTTATTCAGAGAGAGGTCAAGATGTGCTGTTGAACTCACCTAAGTTTCTAAATACTTCATATTTAATACTTCAATACATTAATAATACATAATATAATAATATATATTATATAAAAATAATATGTAGCATATAATATATAGTATCATATACTATATATAGCATATATAGTACTTCAAAACAATGCAACATCTTAAAAATCTATATGAACAAGCATCTATAATTTCTTCATGTACCAATTTATTTGAGCCTACTTCATCTCATTTCCTACTTTTTGCCCCTCTACTGCAAACCAAACACTCCCACTCCTATTAACTGCACACAAGGACTGAAAGGCTGTGACTGTAGGGAGCTGGTTGGTCACAGATGCTTTTTTAGGAGGACATAATAAAAAGGAACGGTTCTGTGTGGCTGGATTGCCTCGGTAATAAGGCACGTGGAGAACATCACCTGTGTGCCCTGGGGGCAGTGCCTGTGTGCCCTGGGGCAGTGCAGTACCTGACATGAGCGAGATGAGCCTCTGGCGGGCCTCGTTGGAGGCACGCGGGGTCCGGATGCGGTCGATCCACTGGTACTCAGGGTCCTCGTTCACCACCAGCTCCTCCACGAAGCCGTGGATCACCACGGCCCGGTAGCACTTGGGGATGGACGTGGCTGGTGCAGACACACAGCAAAGGGGTGAGAGACAGGCCTCCCAGCCAAGGGCAGCAACACAAACATCCATTGCACACCACAATGATTTCATCCAGACCGTTTTCTGTGACAACATGGACACACCCCGCTAAGGTAACTGTCCAGTGTACCAGTTACAGCACGTGCCTTAATGAAGCCTTTTCACTTTGGGCCTCTTTCAAAGGATATGGACCCAAAATAACACCACATGTGCATGCAGAGGCACTGAAATGCAACTTCTGGGCATTAAAAAACCCCATCAGTTACTTACATTGTTTTGAAATGTGAACAGTAACAATGTGTTAAAAAAGAAAAGCAATTTGTGTAAATGTTATCTCCACTAGGTTTATGCAATGAGCTCCCTTCTCTGCCATGAGAAGGGAGACAGAAGAGGCAAAGAAGGAAAAGGAGGGGATAAGTTTTTGTTCAAATAAACTTTTTTCCTCTACTTACTGCAAAAAAATTTGACGCCACAGGATGACTGCCTAAATCTGTTTAAATCATTGAAGAGATCTACTTTCACCACAACGTTGATCTCCCCACGTATACCTGTCAATAAAAACCATGAAATACCAGAAGTTATAACAATATGACTGCACCAATACAAAACTAGACCTATAAATTATTTCCTGTTATTAATAATTAATGCCAGAGGAGCAGGAAGCCATAGCCTTGCCTCTCAGGTCTGCTGCAGAGACACTGGCTCAGAGGAAGTTTCTAGTTCTGCCAAGCCTGTGGCACAATGAAAGCAACACTCCTCAAATGCCGGTCTGGAGCAAACAGAACTTTATAAGAAAGATGGGACTGGGGAAAGAGAAGCCATCAGCCTCTTGGTGCTGCAGTGGCCTCTGCTGCAGGGTGCTCTCTCTGCTCAGTTTCCTGCCTGAAACAACTCCACAACTACAGTAAAGCTCCTCTCTGAAGTTCAGCCCAAGGAGAAATATTTATGGTTCTTTCTAGAACCACAAAGTGACAAAGGAAGTGTTTGCAAAATACTTCAACTGTGACAAGAAATAAATAAAAATAAGGTATTATAGTCCTTTTAGACAAAGGTTAATTTTCAACTATGATTAAACCTTACTAGAAATGGATTATTTTCCAACACAGAACCATTCCTTTTTGACTTCTCTACTTCCCTGTTCTGAGCTTTTCCTTCTTTTCCCCACCCAGTAACAAAATCATTTCACACATCATAGGTTCTGACATATTGAGGACTAAACTTCTTGATGAGTCTGATCTCTCATGTCTTCAGAAGCCTTTATCAACCAGCACATGACACTGAAACAGCAGCACTGGATTTGTTGTTCAGCTCAGACATTACTGCAATAAAATCAGCTGCATCTCCCTTCCAAAATGCCAACAGGAAGAAGCCTTCAGTTATTGTAACAGAAAATGCCTCAGGGCTATACATTTTCACAAACAATCATGTTGAGGTGAAAGAAAAAAATTAATACAAACTTATGAACATTGTATTTATTCTTTTTTTAAGGAAGCTCAATTAATGTTTGCCAAGAATCACAATAATTGGAATCTACTGCTATGAGCATGAAAACAAAAGAATTCCAATTTTACTTACACAGAAAAAACCTATGAAATACCAACATATCTGGAAAAATATAGAGAATTCAAACTCTCTCTAATCTACCAGCTGTACACATCCTGAAACAAGTGTTTGCATAATTTAGCTCCAGAAGAGAATGCATGATAGGAGAATGTGCATAGGATAAAAAGGTCATTTAAAAAAACAGTGTTTTTGCAATATTTCTTAATATTTCTGCTCGCTATAACTGGTTTAAATGCAAAAAATACAGTGCATCAGTTATGATGAGCATCTGGTGAACACCATTAATTATTTCCCAACAATGCCTTATAATTAGCTTTGAACATCATTAGGTCATTGAATTCACCCTGAATAATGAAGGAGGGGGACAATGGCAGCCACAGAGATGTCCTGCACAAAGGCATCCAAGCAGCAAGTTAATTGCTCTAAACTGACATTGGCTCTCTGAGACAAAAGCTGTTCCATCCAAATCAAAAGCAAAAATATCACTGCCTCTATTTTCTCATACCTTCAAGACATTCTGATGAAATCCACCTAGTACTGAGAGCACTTAATGCAGGGAAAAGGGATTTCATCCTGTTGATGCTATCTATCTCACATCCTTGCCCCTTCATCTCAAGTGACGTTTATCCCAAATCCCAGGAAGGCACACTTCAAGTAACCCCAGCAAAATTACATTTGTTTAGCAAACACATGGTAATTAGACAAATACGTCTGAGTCTTTTTTTTTAATCAGAAATTTGCAGTAACTAGTGAGGATGTTTTCCCACTTGTCACAAGTCCTGTGGAAGGCACTCTGCCAAGCACTAGTCTTTACTCCCCTGCCAGAAATTTTCTCGTGTCAGAAAATAAGGGGGGAAAAAAGCCAGGAAAGTGGTTTTCCAACTCCAAAGCTAAAGTTATTACAAATTTCTGAATACATCTTATGAGATTGTACGAAGCAGATTAGGTTCCAGAGAAGCCTGTTTGAAATCAGCAAAGCTCACCATGAATGGTATCATAAATTGGAAACCACCCTGAAATAACAGTGGCTGCCTCACTGTAGAGCAGAGGGTCGATGTCTATGTACACCTTGCCAATGGCATCGTTGGCACTGTACGTGTCGTGGTCAAGAACCGTGATCTGCAGGGGCTCATCCTGCAGCTCCTCATCATCCACCTGCAACACAAATATTAACAAAAACCTGAGTGCTTAAAAATGTGCAGGGAAACACTGCTGAAAAACAAATGCAGAGGAGAAGAGAGTTAGTAATGAACAGTGACACGGATAGATCTGTAATGTCACTTTCTGAGATTACATTACATTCCTGAGGCTAAACAACATTCCCACTCATTTTGGTTTTATCCCTCAGAGACTGGTGAGATCCTGGAAACTGACCGATCACTGGTAGAGGAACACAAAAGCACAATTACAGAGAATATGCATTTTAAAATTCCACAGTATTTTAAGTTGCACTTAAAATACTGTCCCACCTATCTCCACAATACATACTGATAGACAAATAAATAAATAGACAAAATAAGGAAGAAAGGAAAGAAAGAAAGAAAGAAAATTTAAGATGAAATACCTCAGAGGACTATTATGCTCTGAAGTTTATGGTGCTCCCATCGCTGGCCAGTGGCTTAAAAGCAGGTAGTTTACACAGCCTGCAGTAAGAGTTCAGTACTTCTACACATGCAATTTCCTAAACAAATGCAATAATCCATCTACAGATAATGACTATTTTCTTTTAGGACAAAGACAGCCATTTAACAAATTTTTGTGTTCAATTCACAAACCAAGAATGAAGTTTGCTAGCTGCAATGGGATGACTCATCTAAGTGTTTGCAGAATTGCAATATTGCCTTAGTGCACAGTAAATGAACCAGAACTACACATTCAAGTATTGCAATAATTAATTGATTCTAAACATAATCCTCATTTTTTAAGTAGTAAAAAAATGAAAGAAACATGTAAACACTCGTTCAGGGCATAATGTCAAAGGACACCAACAAATTAGATCCTGGAAAGCAACAAGCAATTATAGGAAAATGCTGCGTGCCCTCATTATTACATAAGGAAACGAGAGGAGAAAGTGTCCAGCAATTGTTGTCCAAGCTCTTTGCTTTGTAATCTTCACAGAGCAATTTTCCGTTTTCTCCTCTGCATTATCCTTGCCACCAAATGTAAGACTTCAAATACCAATTAACTTCCCTTGCTCAAAATTAAGAAAAGCCCACAGGAACACTTTATTTACACATACATGTCCTGATAAGTGTACTGAAAAAGCCTTTCCCCTGCTGCCCTTGCCCACCTTCACTGCAGCACTCTCTCTTCTAACAGAACAGCATTCAATTGGATCCAACCTGGCAAGCTTTTATCTTCTCAAGCACTCCTAAAAAGCCAAGGAGACGCCCTTGGCAAACAGGGTCTGCCTGGAGCTGGCTTTGCTGGAAAGGCTTTGTGCATGTAAACACAAATACACTTCAGTGCTCACTCTCTGCTGGAAATGCAATTATTTCATTAAGGCAGCTGAACCAGAGTGCCTATACACTTACAGGCCAACTCTTAAAAATACTTACTTCAAATTTGAACCACTCAGAATTCCATTGAGGATTAAGTGATTTGGGATACACATCTGTCTTAAATGTTGTATTTCCAAATTTCACCTAAAAACAAAAACATTCAATTAGCAATTACAAGTATTAACAAAAAGATTTTGAAACTCATTTAATTGACATATGCAAATAATTTCAAATACATATTTCAACAAATAATTTTCTTTTCACTGAGTGGCTTTTCAATTCAATTTATATATATATCAGTATCCACATGTCAATGACATTTCCAATCAATCTCTTTCATCCTGTCACACTACTAAAATGGTTCCTTTTCCTCCTCAAACATTTGAGAGTCAGAAATATAACTTATATTGGCTATTCAAAGTCACTTTACATACTCTCCTTGCCTTCTACAAGGAAAAATATTCTAAACATTGATAGCTTATTACTCTTCTCTCTAGGATTTCTCAATCAGCTTCACAGACAATTGATAAAATAAAGACAAACTGGATTTGATACATACAGAGAGAGGACTACTAAAAACTGAATATTTTCCATGCTTTCATCTCTTATTTCACCTTCAACCACATAATAACTCATTTCAGCAGTACCCATATGGTCTCCACAGGCATCTATTTCAGGCTAAGCCCATTTGGGTTTGGTGGGCGCTTCTTCTTTCCTTTTTTAAGGTGAAACTGAATTTCTGTGATGCTCCATACATCAGGAAGCCACACAGCACACGGAAGAGCCTTTATTCCTCTGCAGCCTTCACTGCAAACCATTTCCAAACACCTGCAGTTCTCCGAATGCTGCTTCTCAAAGAAGCATGACACCTCATACCAGGTACTTACAAATACCCAAATTTACATTTTTAAATTTATTCAAGACTCCTAAGGAAAACAGTGACTAGGCAGATAGAAAAGAAGTGCTGGAGTTAGAGGTTTTGACAGCTTTTACCTTTTAAAAGGCCAAACGCATTTTGGAAAGGCAATTTAGGCCTGGATGTGAGCACTGTGGTGATTTTGCTCAGGACAGTGTTAAGTGACCACCTGGCACACCTCAGTAACGCAGTGATTACTGTGCACAGGTGCATCTCCCAGCTCTGAAGAGATCCTGCATTGGCTGAGGTACAATCAAGTGATGGTAGCACTGCTGCAAGGGCACTGCCAATTCAATACCAGCTCTGGCTCCAGAAGCTGCCAGGATCCAGCATCCTGAGCTCCACCCAGCCTATTTTAAGGCCTTATCTGGGGAGTAAATCAGTTCCCTTAGAGCCCCAGGCAGTTGTAACTGAATTTCCCCCTGCTCCAGCTAGGTCATTGAAGCTGGTAGAGAAAATAAAAAACCACACTGCTGCCCACTGTGCAAAGTTAAAAGCACATTTATGGAAGAAATCTTAACAAAACATTCTGAGCTGGGACAAGGATCATTGTGCTCATGCTAGTGGAGTCCAAGTTTTGCATAAAACCTGAGCCAAGTAAGAGCTCTGAAGTATCTTCTCATTCTCTTTTCGAGTTCTAAGTTTATATTGCAAAATTTAACAAGGAAATTTAAGGTTAGTAAACAACTAGAACCTTAACAGCTACATTTCATTTTATTTAAGGAAAAACACATTGTAGTTTTTCAGCAACCTCACCCAGAAAAACAAAACAACACTTTAAATCTCAACTTACTTTGCAATAAATCTCACCTGCTGCACTGCCTACTCCATGCAGGGAAAGGGAAGTTACTCCACACTGTTCCTAATTAACAATCCTGAAAGCAAGGCCCCCACCTGGGTATTCCTATACCCTTATCTGTGCCAAGGCACCCATGAACCAGCATGGCAACCCAGCTAAGCAAGCTGGTCTTGATGAAAATGGTTATTTTCCTTTTCTGCTGTGCTAGTATTTTATTATATGAATTTCAACAATCTACTTTGCTGCCCTGACAGTAGGGCTGGGAACAAGACCCACAGAAGAGAGGAGCTGTTTCTCCTGACACAGTAAAACCAGGCCAAATGAAACTCGGTGAGCTGCATTTCCTAGTCCTGTTTTCCCTGTCTCCTAATAGCAAGCACCAGAGTTGTGGCAATTTCAGACTAGATTAACAGGCAGCCCGCAAGAGAAGCTTTTAAAAATTAAAAGCTGACCAGTGAAACAGCTGACAAAACAGTGAAACACTATGTTCTATTTAATAAAATAAAGTTCTGTACTATTTCTGCTCCACTGAAAGGCTGGAATACATCCTCACTTGACCACCAGCCTACTCTCCCATTAAGCATTGTCCTTAGAGTCTAACATCAACCAAATTTTTAAGCACCAAATTAAATCAGGACTTACATACCCCAAATTTATTTTTATATTGATAGTATCATATTTCCCAGTGTATACAGGTCTAGAAAGGCATTCTGTCTTCCTATTTAATTCTAGTACTGTGCTAACTTCAACTACAAATGGTACACCTCAATGAGTATTTGGGGTTCAAGACATGCATTTCCAGAGCACACCATTTTTACATAGCTCCGATTTTTCTCAGAGTATGAGTCCCAAACCTACAGAATGCTTCTGAAATGTTCTAAGTCATTCATATTGGAAAAAACGAATCAAAAAACATAAGGCTCATGTAACAGAAATCATAAAAAGGCTTGGATTGGAAGGGACCCTGAAGTCCATCTCACTCAAACCCCCTGCCATGGGCAGGGATGTCACCCATTGGAGCACACTGCTCGGAGCCCCATCCAACCCGGGCCTCCAATGGTTCCAGTTACTTTGCACTTCAGCTTATTTTACAATCCCTTCCTGGAAGGACCCTACACATTGCTGCAAGCTACGAGACTGCAAAGAAGGTTGAAGCTGGATACTCCGGGTGCAATAAAGTGATTTAAACACGCAAACAATATTAAGTACTTGTTGACAAAAAGCCCCCTTTGAAAACATTTTAGTATTTCAAATGTTTTAAAAGGAAAGCAAAGCCTGTACACCCAGTCATATACTCAGCAATACAACCACTTTAAAGATTATTTTACTACTTCGCCACCCTCCTTGCAACACCTCTGTCTGATCAAAGACCCGGTTAGGTTGGAAATGCCCTGTGGGATCACCGAGCCCAAGCTGTGACCGACCACCACCGGCATCGAGACCCGGGCACCTCCAGGGACGGCTCCTGCCCCTGCCCCGGGCACCCCGTCCCGATGGCTGATCCCCCTTCCCGGAGCGGCTCCTGCCCCTGCCCGCCCGTCCCGATGGCTGATCCCCCTTCCCGGAGCAGCACCTGCCCCTACCAGCGCGTCCCGAGGGCTGATCCCCCTTCCCGGAGCGGCTCCTACCCCGGGCAGCCCATTCCGATGGCTGATCCCCCTTCCCGGAGCGGCTCCTGCCCGTGCCCCACAGCCCCGCTGCGCTTCCCGGAGCGCCGTTCGGGCCCGGCAGGTGCCTCCCCGCGCGGGCCCGGCCCGCCGCCCCGCCACCAACCTCCACGAAGGCGTCGGTCAGGTCGCTGGCGCGGTCCATCACCGGCAAATGGCGCCCCGCCACGATCTTGACCTTCAGCTTCCCCGGCATCTTCCTCCTGCCGTGCCCCCCCTCGCCGCCGCCTCCTCCTCCTCCCGCGGCCGCAGCGGCAGCGCCACCGCGCCTGTGCCATGGAGCGCCGGGCGCCGCTGCGCATGCGCGGGGGCCGCCCCAGCCGGCCGGCGGGAGCGGAGCCCCGGAACCGGGGATTGCCCGGGCTGGGAGGGGAGCTCGGAGGAGCGCCCAGGGCAAGCCCCCTGCCAGAGCACGGCCACCCAGAGCAGGGGACAGGGAAACGGGCCCAGGGGGTTTCCTGCGGTGCGGAGAGGGAGATCTAGCCCGTCCCTGGGCAGCTGTTCCAGGGCTCTGCCGCCTTCAGTGTAAGGAAATGATGGCTCATGTTGAGATTAAACTCCATGTGCTTCACCTCATGGCCAGTGCTGAACTCCTTGTGCTTCACTTTATGGCCGTTGCTCCTTATTCTGCCACTGGTACGCCTAACAAGTCTGGCCCAATCCTCTTGGCACACATTTGAGATATCCCCTCTCAGTCTTCTCCGGAATAAACAGGCCCAGCTCCCAGTCCTTTCTCCTTAGTGATGCGCCAGAGCCCTCATCGTTCCTGTGACCCCTTCCAGCAGCTCCTTATCCCTGCTGTACTGGGGAGCCCTGCAGGTGTGGCCCGGCTGGGGATGAGGAGCAGGACGGCTCCCCTCACCTGCCGGCCACGCTCCGGAGCGCCCCAGACACCACCGGCGCCCCCAACTAAGGACACGCGACCATACCATGTTCAAATTGTACCCCAGCAGCATTCCCCACTCCTTCCCCGCAGAGCTGGTCTCTAGAGGATCCCCCACCCCCCGGTGCCGGTATTTGAGGCTGTCCCTCGGCAGGTCCGGCCCCTAAACCCGGCCTTATTAAGCCCGCGGGTCCGCCCTGCCCGGCTCCAAGATGGCGCCCGCGGCCTCGGGGCGCTGCCGGTTACAGCTGAGCTCCGGCTACTCGATGGGCCCGTGGGCTGAGCGCCGAGCTATCGATGACGGCACGGGAGCGGACGGGACGGGACCGTACCCCGAAACGCGCACCCTGCGTGCCCTCTCCTACAGCCCGAAACCCGCACTCCCTATCCTGCACCCCGAAACCCGCACCCTGCGTGCCCTATCCCGCACCCCGAAACCCGCACCCTGCGTGCCCTATCCTGCACCCTGCACTCCCCAACCCGCACCCTGAATCCCCCATCCCGCTCCCCGCCTTGTGCCCGCTGCAGCAGCCCCGGGAAGCTCTGACGGCCCCGGGAAGGAGCTGCTCCCATGAGTTCCCGTTCAAAGGGAGCTGGAAGCAGGCGTGCATCCCCAGGCACTCAGTGGGAGTCTCCTGTAAAGGCTTTAAAAACAGCACCCCGACACCCCCCCGCCGCCCGTGGGATTGCTTTGTTTTCTTAATGGAAACACAAACATTTACAGTATTTGCAGGATTACGGGTAGATTAGATGGAGTTTGGTTACCAGAAATAGGAGGATTTGGTTCGGTTCCTGCAGCCAGGCTGTAACTTTGTGATGCCTGAAAAAGCCCTTTGTTCAGGCACTGGCACTGCGGGAGCTTGGCGCAGAGCAGGGGAGCCAGGACTGGGGCAGGGTGGTCCTGGGGGCGCTGTGAGAGCCCTCGGGGCGCTGTGAGAGCCCTCGGGGCGGTGGCTGTGCCGCTGGGCTGCTCAGCAGCGGGAGCAGAAAGGGGCCCTTGTGCTCTGCTTAAGCGCTCCTCAGGTATTGAGCCAAATCTGCTGGGATTATTTCCCCTTCTTTCTAATCTTACAAAAAGACTAAATAATGCTATGGGCTGGAGTGTGATACACCAAACAAATCATATGACTGATTTGCAGCGTGTGGTGTGGGGAATGAAGGGTGGGGCTCTTTGGCTGCCTGCAGTGAGTCCCACCAACACAGCACTCTGTCTCTGGGGCTTGTTTGGAGCAATCTATACTGTGTCCAGGGAAGGAAACAGCTGAGGAAGGGGCTGCTGCACAGTCCTGTGAGGAGCAGCTGAGGGAGCTGGGGGGGTTTAACTGGGGAAAAGGAGGCTCAGAGGGACCCTGTGGCTCTGCACAGCCCCTGGCAGGAGGGACAGACAGGAGGGGTTAGGCTCTGCTCCAGGGAACAGGGACAGGACAAGGGGAAACGGCCTCAGGCTGTGCCAGGGGAGGTTCAGGTTGGGCATTTCTTCATGAAAAGGGTCGTCAAACATTGGAATGGGCTGCCCAGGGAAGGGATGGAGTCCTTGTCCCTGCAGGTGCTCAAGGTAATGTCACAGACACTTTTTATGAAAAATCTTTTCTTCCTGAGAAGCTGAGAGGCTTCAGGAACAAAATGTAAATAATGAGTATTTGCAGCTGTGGAATGCAACAGGTAGATTTGTGATTAGTCTCAAGTAGTTGTTTCTAATTAATGGCTAATCACAATCAGCTGGCTTGGACTCTGTCTGAGCCACAAGTTTTTGTTATTATTGTTATTATTTTTTTTATTCTTAACTAGCTTTCTGATGAAATATTTTTTTTTTAATTCTTTTAGTATAGTTTTAATGTAATATATATCATAAAATAGTAAATCAAGCCTTCTGAAACATGGAGTCAGATCTTTGTTTCTTCTTTTACTTTCGGACTCCTGAGAACACAGTCACAGGTGGTGACTGCATGTGGCACTCAGCACTTTAGTCTAATCGACAAGGTGGTGATGGGTCCAGGGTTTGACTCAGTCTTGGAGGTCTTGTTCAACCCAAATGAGACTACCCCTAGCGCAGGTGTCTTGGTTTCAAAGACAGGTGTCTGCCAAGCAAGGCGGCAATGCAGGACGTGACTCCCTTCCCTCGGAATTACTATAACTTTAAATTCGGGGCCTTTGGGGCGCAGCCCTGGGGAGAGGCCGGGCATTTTTTTGCCGCTGTGTGCAGTGTAGCAGGGCAGAGAAGCGCGGCTCGGACGGGGCACGGCTCGGCACGGCTGCAGCTCCGGCCGCCGCCGCCAGGGGCGCTGCGGGCTCGGCTGCGCTGCTGCCCCGCGCCGCCAGGCGGCGCTGTGCCCCGGCTGCGCCCGCAGGGACGGACGGATGGGATGGACAGATGGACGGACGGGATGGACAGATGGACGGACGGGATGGCTGCAGCGGGACCCTCGGAGCGGCGGGCCGCGCTCTCCGGGCAGAAGGCGAGAGGCAGTAGAATCTTTCTCAAAAGGTTTCTGAGGATCCAGCTTTTTCAGTGGAAGATTCCATTAGTCAAAGGATGGAAATCAGAAAGCACCGATTTTGGAGAGCCAGTTCCAATCTGATTTTCAGGCGCTTGGAAAGATGAATTAGATTTGATTTAATGCAGCGAGAAACCTGCTTGGTGTATTAGACCTTCCTCGGGGCTGAGGATTTTCTATACTGGCAGAATGAGACTGGCTTTCCATAAATTAGCATGTTAGCTCCCACCTTTCCTACCAATGACATTCCAGTTCTCTAGGGCCAGCAGGGACTTGTGAAAGGTATCAGGGACTGCTGAAAGTATACTCAGACCCCTAGAATTTATAAATTACTTGAGGCTTCCAAAGCAGCATTAAACTCCATCGGTTCTAGGCAAACATAATGGATATACTGGACACTAAAGCTATAGTATGTACATGCTCAGAACTCCACAGGAAGTACTGAAAGATGTTTTTTCATAATAAGGAAAAAATGAGATGTGATACTTGACTTTGCATTTCAGTATCTGGATTGTTTCTTGCTGAGGCTTTTCCCTTCTGCCTGGAAGCGATGCTGTTTTAGTGAGTCGTGGCAATGGAAGTCCTGTTTCAGCTGCTCTGTGCTTAAAGAGCAGCATTGTCTCACTTGAGCAGGTGTTGGTATGTATTGAATGGCACTGTAACTCAACTAAACAACAAGAATATTGCTAATTACAGCATTAAAGGCATCTTGTGTGGAACAGTGAGTGTCAGAAAAACAGCAGAGTTTTTTGTGGGTGATTTTGCCACTTGAAGGTAACGATCCATGGTCCCTTCTTGTTTTAAGAGAGGGAGTTTGAGATAGATATGCCTGTTGAACTCTTAGTTTGGAAATGGACACTTCAGAGATAAGGTTTTCCTTATCTCTGAAGGTAACTTCAGTCTGCTGACCCACCCCATCAGGGCAGGTTTCAGTTACATTGGTTTACCACCCTTCAGGATGCAGACCAGAAGGTGGTGGTCTGGCTTTTCCTCAGGTTACAGCAGGACCTGGGGTGTGGTGGGCTCTCTTCTCCACAGGGAAAAGTGCTCTTGGGTTATATTGCCTTGAGTTGATTTAAACAGAAATGAATGAAAAACTTCTTGGAGGGGTTTTAGTTTGTTGAAACACAGAAAAAATCCTTTTTACCTCTGGCCCACAGAAGATACTGGCCCTGTTTCTACTGCAGTTACTGCCATAAGTACTCTTTGAAAGAGGAATCTTTCAGCTACCATCAGCACAGGAAATTGCAGAGTCAGATTTTGGTTTCTGGAAAAATCCCTGTATTTCTCTGTAAAACTAACCACACGTTTCTAATCAATCCAGCTTAAATCTGATGGACACCAATATAAAAATATTTTTAATGATGCTCATAGGGGTTCTGTATCCAGAGTCATGGATCCTTAGTAAAGAACCTCTGCATGCCAGGAAAAACCCCAAACTTCCCTCTGCTCTGTCTGTGCTGTGCTGTGTGTCCACTGCAAGGATTTGGGTGGGCAAATCCTGGGACAGGGGCAGAGTCCCAGTCATTTCTGTTTGTAATTCCCTGTGAGTGTCTGGCTGAGCCTGCAGCCCCAGCCCCTGCCATTAGTGTGAAATCCTCGTGAGGAAAGGCAGCAAGGTGGAAATGCCTCCCTGCCGTGAGGAGATGGGGTTTATTATGAGCAGGGGCTCTGATTTACATGGGAGGAGCTCTCTGGAGTTGGACTGGTTAGAAACAAGGGCAGAGCAATAGGAATGTCTGTTAGCAGCCACTGGAACAAAATCCTGCCACCACAAGGATCTCTGATGTAACAGTGTGGTGATGGAAGCAGGGGAGCCTGAG